TCTTGTGGAAGGTTTCTTGTGGACTGGCCTCCACCGTATGCAGTGGGATGGGGCCGTACTGGCCTGCAAGATCCGGGCGGGACTGCTGCTGGAGTCTGTGCCATGGACAGAATGGGCCTCTCTGACGAGAGACAGGGGATGACGGCAACAGACGGGGGAGGTGGAGGGAATGTCCGCTTCTCCAAGCGCATTTCGAAGTCCAGCTGCGCCCGCGCCGTCCCGATCAGGTCCCGTTGGCGAAAGCGAGGGAAGGGGCGCCGTCTGCGCGCAGGCCGCAGGGCCCGCAGCGGAGCGCCAAGCCTTTTCGATGCCCGCAGCTGGCGCGCGTCCGCTCCAATACACGCAGAGCGGAGGCTGGCAATCAAGGAGGAGGAGGAGGAGGAGGAGGAGGAGGAGGAGGAGGAGGAGGAGGAGGAGGAGGAGGAGGAGGAGGGAAAGGAGGAGGAGGAGGCGGAGGAGGAGGAGCTTGTGCATCATATTCACGCGAAGCGATGGACATGAAACGCGCTGATGAGCCCACTGGCGGAGCGCAGCGTATCGCTTGAGGCCTCCATCCCGGGGTGACGGACGAAGGAGACCGCAGAGATGCTCCACCTGCCAGTGCCGCCAACCCAAACGTGATCCCCGTCGACGTTGAGCGTCGCAACGTGGCTGTGCTAATGTAGGTGCCAGTGTGCCCGTGCAAGCGATAAGCTGCGTCACGGCCAGGGTCCGGCGCAAGGATATATGTTTCCACATTCTGCCACCGCGCCCAGGCTGCTGTTGAAATGGCGTCGTGCACGAAAGAGGGGCATGCCCTCAGGCGGTTTTGACAGCCTGAGTGCCCGCGTTAGCCGAGCGGCCCCCGTGCTGGTCCAAGCGAAGACCAATAAAAGCACGCTTGCGAAGCGGCACGAACCCCGCCAGCGCGGAGCCCATAAGGCACAACACCTTGAACAGCAATGTGAATTGCATGGGCGAGGAAATCATTGCGGAGATCCCTCGAAGGCAATGCTGAGAGGGATTGCGAAAGACGTGAAGGACCGGCGCTAAGATAGATTCCTTTGCTGACGAGGCTGCGGGAGCCGACCTCGGAATCCGAAGCGGCGTGCTGCTCGCCCCAGGGCCGAGGCGGCGGATTCTCGCCAGAACTCCTGGCGGATGTAGGTGATTCTTTGTGGCGAATCCGGCGATCCGAGTCCGAATCTTTGGTCGGCTCGCGAGGGGCCGCTGCGGTGCATTCATAGCATCCAAGCCTGCACAACAGCTCGAGCCTAGACGAGTACGGTGACGTGCGAAGCACGTGACTCCGTGCACCCTTGGTAGCATCGTTCGCTCCCGCTCCTTGTCTCCCTACCTGTGAAATGATGGGGTATTCAGCTCTCGGATGCTTCGCGCTCGGGTGCTTCACGCTCGAGTGCTTCGCTGGGATGATATGATGATGGATAGTGATGATGATGATGCTGATGCTGATGCTGATGATGATGATGTTGATAATGATGATGCTGATTATGGTAGCGATGGTGATGATGTTGAATGCTAAGATGATTATGGTGATGGTGGTAATGATGATGACGATGATGACGATGACGATGGTGATGATACTCCTGATGATGCTGCTGCTGCTGCTGCTGATGCTGATGCTGATGCTGATGCTGATGCTGCTGATGACGCTGCTGATGCTGATCCTGCTGCTGATGATCATGGCTATGACGATGTTGATGATGATGCTGCTGCTGATGGTGCTGACGATGATGATGCTGCTGATGATGATGATGCTGATTGTGATGATGATGATGATGATGATGATGATGATGATGCTGATGATGAAGATGGTGATGATGATGATGAGGAGGATGATGAGGATGATGAGGATGATGAGGATGATGAGGATGATGAGGATGATGAGGATGATGATGATGATGAGGATGAGGATGATGATGATGATGATGATGATGATGATGATGATGATGATGATGATGATGATGATGATGATGATGATGATGATGATGATGATGCGGATGATGATGGTGATTATGTTGTTTATGATAGCGGCGATGATGAGGGGACGATGGGGAGAGGAGGGTGTTGCTGCGTGGGGGTGTCCAAAGAAAACAAGAAGCGCATCCAAGATGCAGGGAATGAAGGAATATGTTGAAACATTCCTTCGATCCTTACCCTCAGATCTGGGCGTGGGAGAAGCTCGTGCACGGCAGGTTTTGGGACGTTTTCTGCTTCTAGGGGCCGTTTTCAGGGCCCACAGCAGAAAACGACTGCGGATGAAAAGCTGGCCTCCGGGAAGGGGTCGAGATTCTCAGGGGTCCATGTTTCGGCTACGCGACAGAGTGACCATCCGCCGTAGTGACCTTTGGTGCGGGCCCGGAGGGGTCCCGCCAGCATTGGCTGGCGCGCTGGGATTGCTTGGATTTGGCACCTGGTGTGGATCCGTTGAGCCGCGCGCCAAAGGTACTCTGGCCTAGGGGTCACTCGTGTGTGCAACTGAATGTCACGAACACACTGCGACGTCTTAGGAGACGGGATGGCAAAGTTTCGCAGCGGGGGCGGCGGCAGGGGAGGGGGACGCGCAGTGTTGCGCGCGAAATGTCCGCGGGCTTGAGCTGTGGACAGGCCCAGGCCCAGCGTTGCTGAAGGCCCAATTCCAGTAGGGCCGCATGTTGACAGGTCTGGTCCGACTCCACAGAGAAGGCGCCCTCGCATGCCCCCACTTTCACACAAGGGGGGGGGGGATCGTGACAAAGTCGGCGGCGCGCCCAGGGGGGAAGGCAGAGGGGGCGGGCCTCCTCAGAAGGCTCAGAAGGCCTCCAGCCTCCCGAGAAGCTTCCTAAGCACTCCCCGAAGATGGAGACGGCTTCTCGGAATGCCTCCTCCTCCACCTTCTCCTCCCCCTCCTCCTCCTCCTCCTCGTCCCCCTCCTCCCCCTCGTCCTCCTGCTCCTGCTCCTCCTCCTCCTCCTCCTCCTCCTCCTCCTCCTCTTCCTCCTCCTCCTCCTCCCCTAATCGAAGATGGAGAGGGCTGCTGAGAAGCCCCGCCGCCTTTGAGAAGCCTGTCCCCTGTTACTTCCCCCCTCTGGGCGCGCCCCCGACACCGGCCTCTGCAGCGCGCCTGGGCCCCGTCGCCAGCGCCGGCCATCTATGGGGACGGCAGCTGGTGGGACGAGCGCACGATTTTTGGTTGAGATCTGCATCGGGCGCCGGCCGAAATTCCGATGCGGGGTGGATAGATCGCCGCCTAGATTTTGTGGCGATCTCCACGGTTTTTGGGGCTGCAGGGGTCGACGTTTGGGGCGAGTGCGACGATTTCGGCAGATGATGAGGGGGAGGGGTGTAAGTGCGTAGGTGGAGTAGCGAACAGGGAGTTGGAAGAGCAAGGGGAGGGAGTTGGGAGGAAAGAGTTGGGAATCACATGATTATGATGATGAAGAAGAAGAAGATGAAGATAATGAATCTGATCGAGATGGAGATGGAGATGATAATGATGATGATGATGATGAAGATGACGATGACGATGATGATGGAGATTATGGTGATGATGATGCAGAATGAGACGATGATTCTGATGCAGGAGATGGTGATGCTGCTGATGAGGATGAGTATTGTTATTCATCATTGTTCGTATTATGTTAACTGTGCTGAAGAAGGTGACGCATCTGATGATGATTATGATGATTATTGTTATCGTTACTAGTCTCATGAATCGATTTCATTACGATTATGAAGGCGATGATGATGATGCTGGTGATGATGATGGTGATGATGATGATGATGATGATGCTGATGCTGATGATGACGATTATATATATATGTATATGATTATTATCTTCATTATTCTTAGTACTGCTACCACAACGACCACGATAATCAATATCATGATTATAGCCACTGTAGCTACAGTTGTGGTTATTGTTTTTTTAGTGTTTGTGTTTCTGTTTTTTTTCTGTTTGGTAGTAGTGTCACGTCTGTTTGTAATCATTGTTTAAAGCATTCTTACTACGATTACTAGAACTATCATTCTTCTTACTCGTATCATAATAACTGTTGTTTTTGTCATTACTGCTTTTAGTATTCTTACGATTCTTGTGATACTGATGATTTTGATCATGCTGATGATGATGATGATGCTGCTGATGATGCTGCTGCTGATGATGCTGCTCCTCATGATGCTGATGCTCATGCTGATGATAATGCTGATGCTGCTGCTGATGGTGATGCTTATGATGATGATGATGAAGAAGAAGAAGGCGATGATGATGATGCTGGTGATGATGATGATGATGATGATGATGATGATGATGATGATGCTGATGCTGATGATGACGATTATATATATATATATGATTAGTATCTTCATTATTCTTAGTACTGCTACCACAACGACCACGATAATCATTATCATGATTATAGCCACTGTAGCTACAGTTGTGGTTATTGTTTTTTGGTGGTTGTGTTTATGTTTTTTTTCTGTTTGGTATTAGTGTCACGTCTGTTTGTAATCATTTTTGAATCATTCTTACTACGATTACTAGTACTATCATTCTTCTTACTCGTATCATAATAACTGTTATTTTTGTCATCATTGCTTTTAGTATTATTACGATTCTTGTGGTACTGATGATTTTGATCATGATGATGATGATGCTGCTGATGCTGCTGCTGCTGCTGATGATGCGGCTCCTCATGATGCTGATGCTCATGCTGATGATAATGCTGATGCTGCTGCTGATGATGATGCTTATGATGATGATGATGATGATGATGATGATGATGATGATGATGACGATGATGATGATGATGAGGATGATCATGATGATGATGCTGATGCTGATGCTGATGATGCTGCTGATGATGATGACGATGATGATGATGCTGCTGATGATGATGATGATGATGATGATGATGATGATGATGATGATGATGATGATGATGCTGATGATGATGATGATGATGATGATGATGATGATGATGATGATGCGTGACGAGGAGGAGGATGAGGGGATTGCGAAGGCTTCAGCGACCACGAGGTCGAGTTTGGCGGTTTGAAGCGGCGATATGTGCTGTACGCCCCACGCCACGGCCTTAGCTTCACATTGCCATCAATCATGCAGTTGTGGCGCATGAGTGTTATTATTCTCCACCCTCCAGAAGTACATCATTCACAAACCGATGTTAGGGTGCAGTTTCCATGACAGAGCAGTGGCACCTGGAATGTTTACCTGCACAGAAACAGCCGCCGATGAAGAGTTGCACCGGCCCGGGCGACGAGCTAGCTTTTATCCAGACTTTTGTCGATTTCCCCGCAGGGTGCGGGCCGGACGCGCGCGATGCCAGCGCGCGCTCGCGGATGTGAAGGGTGACAGAATCATCAGAGTGAGGGGGCCGAACGGTCAGTCACTGTCCCTGGGCGCGTGGCTGAAGTGAGAGTCCGGCCCGCGACCAGGCCCGCGACCCACCCGCGACTCACCCGCGACCCACCCGCGACCCACCCGCGACTCAAGCGGCCCTCCCTCCGAGCGCAGTGGCTCGCGCCGACGGGCTGCCGCGTCGGCTTCGGGGTCTGCCGTGGGCAGGTCCGTGCCGATCTCCGCGTGTGCTGCACCCAGCTGGCCGAGCGCGTTCGCCGCCAGATCTCGCCCTCCTCCTCGCGCCTCTGGCCATTGTCCAACAAGTACTCCATGTGAAGACTACTCTCCTCTCTCCCCCAGGGAGCGAGGAGAGTAGTATTCAATCACCACAGTTTGCATTCAACGCTCTGCCATCGCCAGGCGTTCGGGGAGCGTTGCGCCCCCGGGTCGCGGTTGAGGGGCCCTGCCGAGGCAAAGAAGAATTATCCTCTTCTCTTCGAGGGTGGCTGGGGAGTAGCGCGACCCCTTCCGCGTGTTCTTTTTACTCAGGATGGTGCCGAGTGGTTCTCTCTGACGTGTTTTTTCCAATTCGAACGTGCTCGGTCCTTCCGAAGGCTGCTTCCGCTGCAGCGTGGGCCTCAGTGCAGGATCGGCGCTTTGCTCCCGTCGTTCAAAGTGGCGCTCTCGCCACAATGTGGGCCACTTTTCCGGGTCCCAGTCCTCTTTCACCGTTGCCCCCCCCCCCCCCCCCCCCCCCCTCTCTCTCAGGAGGGGGAAACACACAGACACAATCAATCGTCGATCCCTAGGAAAATATCGGAAAATATGGGAAGTGGGGGGTGAAGACAAGAACCCAGAAAATATTGGAAAATATGGGGAATCCTGTTGTGTGTGTGTGTGTGTATTTCTTTGTGTGTCCCAGGGCCCCTTCAATTTCCCCTCCTCCGCCTTCCCCTGGTCCTCCGCTTCTCCCGCTCCTTCAGCTCCAGCTCCTGCTGCTGCTGCTGTTCCTCCTTGTCCTCCTCGTCCTACTCCCTCTGCTCCTGCGCGTCCTCTTGCTCATCCGCCACCTCCTCCTCTTCCTTCTCCTCCTCCAACGTACGCAGCCTCTTTTTTTTCTGCAATTGCGCAGAGCACGATGGGGTCCTCTTTGGAAACCCAGGTCCGCTATGACATGCGTCGACGGCTAGAGACAAAACAGCGCAATAGGAAGGGATGGGTGGGAGGGGTAGGATGGGTGGGAGGGGTAGGATGTCTGGTATGGTGCGAACGCTCCTAGCTTGATATGAATATTACTCACCGTTCTTCCCTGTCTCTGTGCGCAAGCTATCCCGCTGACTCTGCGTATGTTTTTTACACAGGATCTCAACAACTGATCTTACCTATGCTTTTCCTCCTCTTCCTCGTTCATCTTCTTCTCCTCCTCGTCCTCCTATTCCATCCTTGTCCTTATGGATTGTTCCTCCCTGTCGCGCCCCGAGACGTGTTAGTAGGGCGGGTCGGGCGTTTCGCCTGAGATTTCGTCACCATTTATGATCCTGAAGCTTCACATTCGCAATCATTTTACAGACGAAGGGCGGGTGGTTTTCGAAATGTGGCTCTCGCCTTAGCGCCGCGCACATTCGTGTTCAAAGCTTGCAAGTTTTGCACGAATGCAGGGCAGTTCCTCTTCAAAATGTGGCTCTCGCCTTGGCGCCGCGCGCATTCGTTGTAAACGTTGCAGGTGTTTCACAGATGGAGGGCGGCTCCTTGTCAAAATGTGGCCCTCGCCGTAGCGTCGCGCACATTTGTCGTACAGACTTGCAGCAGTTCCAAAGGTTCTTGTGGTTGACGTCCCAGGAACGGTGTCCGGGCACGATTTAGGATTGTCAGGGCGCGACAGTCGCGTTGATTCGCTGTATCGAAGTCCCAGGACTGGCGTTCTGGCATGATACAGGATCGCCAGGACGCAGCAGTAATGTTGATTCGCGGCGTTGAAGGCCCCAGAACGGTGTCGTGGCACGATCGAGGATTCTCAGACGGTTGTTCTTCAACGGAGCATTTCCCGCAGTGAAAATGAGTCATTGCAGGGAACTTGGAGGGAACTTGGAGGGAGGGTTTATTGCAACATAGTTGATGCGTCTTGAGTTTCCACTGGTCCTCCTCCTACTCGTCCTCATCCTTCTCCTCCTCCTCCTCCTCCTCCTCCTCCTCCTCCTCGTCCTCCTCCTCCTCCTCCTCCTCCTCCTCCTCCTCCTCCTCCTCCTCCTCCTCCTCCTCCTCCTCCTCCTCCTCCTCCCCTCGCCCTCCCCCTCGCCCCCGTCGGCGCCGCCCCCCCCTCCCCCTCCTCTGTCCCGTGCGCGCGGACCGCCCCTGGCCGAGGAAACCGGGGGGACCCCGCCGTGCCCCGGCCCCTGCTGATCCTGGCGCCGGACGACGGCCTCAGCCCGCAGGATTCCTCCCGCCCCCTCGCGCGGTTCCTGGGGGAGGGGCGCACGGGGGAGGGGGAGGGGAAGGGGGGGATCAGCGGGAGGAGGGGGGGAGGAGGAGGGGGGGTTGGAGAAGGAGGGAGGAGGGAGGTTCAGCGGGAGGAGGAGTGAGGGGGAGAGGAAGAGGGGAAGGGCGGTTCAGCGGGAGGAGGAGGGGGGGGAGGAGAAGGAGGAGGAGGAGGGGGGAGGAGGAGGGAGGAGGAGCCGACAGCAGGAGGAAGAATTTGGTGGGCACGAGGGACGCGCACCCAGGAGGAGCTATGCCTCACGGACGATGAGTGGGGAGCTCGATGATAGTGGGCGATGAGGGTTTTATTAATGGCAAGGGTGATGATGATGATGATGATGATGATGATGATGATGATGATGATGATGCTGATGATGATGATGATGATGATGCTGATGATGATGCTGATGCTGATGCTGATGATGCTGATGATGCTGATGATGATGATGATGATTATGACGATACTGATTATGATGATGATGACGATGATGCTGCTGCTGATGATGATGATGATGATGATGATGGTGATGATGCTGATGCTGAGGATTATGATGAGGATTATATTGTTGATGATGATGATGATGATGATGATGATGATGATGATGATGATAATGCTGCTACTGATGACGATGACGATGATGATGACGATGATGACGATGATGATGATGCTGATGATGGTGATGGTGATGGTGATGGTGTTGGTTATGGTTATGGTGGTGATGATGCTGATGATGATGGTGGTGGTGGTGACGATTCGCATGTTGGTTGCTGTAGATGATGCGGTTGGTGTTGCTGCTGCTGCTGCTGCTGCTGATGATGATGATGATGATGATGATGATGATGATGATGATGATGATGATGCTGATGCTGATGCTGATGCTGATGATGAGGAGGAGGAGGAGAAGGATAATGAGGATGAGGATGAAGAGGAAACAGAGTAGTACCCACAACCATACTCATATTTGGATGATTATGAGGCATCGAACAATTATCCCGGCACAGCAACCTAACAGCGATGTGTAGGAGCATATCTGGAAGCATTCCCCTTAAGATTCAGATGATAATCCAGTTGTAGAATTCTGCTGTTCTCGCAGTCGCAGTCACAGCTTCAGCCTCAGCCTGCCTCAGCCTCAGCCTGCCTCAGCCTCAGCCTGCCTCAGCCTCAGCCTCAGCATGCTTCAGCCTCAGCATCAGTCTGCCTTCAGCCTCGGCCTCAGCCTCAGCCTGCCTCAGCCTCACCCTGCATCAGCCTCAACCTCAGCCTCAGCCTGCCTCAGCATCAGCCTGCCTCAGCCTCAGCCTCAGCCTGCCTCTGCCTCAGCCTCAGTCTGCTTCAGCCTCAGCCTCAGTCTGCCGTCGGCCTCGGCCTCAGCCTCAGCCTGCCTCCTCAGCCTGCATCAGCCTCAGCCTCAGCCCGCCTCAGCATCAGCCTGCCTCAGCCTCAGCCTCAGCCTGCCTCAGCCTCAGCCTGCTTCAGCCTCAGCCTCAGTCTGCCTTCAGCCTCAGCCTCAGCCTCAGCCTCAGCCTGCAGCCTCAGCCTGCCTCAGCCTCAGCCTCAGCCTGCCTCAGCCTCAGCCTCAGCCTCAGCCTCAGCCTGCCTCAGCCTCAGCCTCAGCCTCTGCCTCAGCCTCAGTCTGCCTTCAGCCTCGCCTCAGCCTCAGCCTGCCTCAGCCTCAGCCTGCATCAGCCTCAGCCTCAGCCTCAGCCTGCCTCAGCATCAGCCTGCCTCAGCCTCAGCCTCAGCCTGCCTCAGCCTCAGCCTCAGCCTGCTTCAGCCTCAGCCTCAGTCTGCCTTCAGCCTCGGCCTCAGCCTCAGCCTGCCTCAGCCTCAGCCTGCATCAGCCTCAGCCTCAGCCTCAGCCTGCCTCAGCATCAGCCTGCCTCAGCCTCAGCCTCAGCCTGCCTCAGCCTCAGCCTCAGCCTGCTTCAGCCTCAGCCTCAGTCTGCCTTCAGCCTCGGCCTCAGCCTCAGCCTGCCTCAGCCAGCCTGCCTCAGCCTGCCTCAGCCTCAGCCTCAGCCTCAGCCTCAGCCTCAGCCTCAGCCTCAGCCTGCTTCAGCCTCAGCATCAGCTGCCTCAGCCTCGGCCTCAGCCTCAGCCTGCCTCAGCCTCAGCCTGCATCAGCCTCAGCCTCAGCCTCAGCCTGCCTCAGCATCAGCCTGCCTCAGCCTCAGCCTCAGCCTGCCTCAGCCTCAGCCTCAGCCTGCTTCAGCCTCAGCCTCAGTCTGCCTTCAGCCTCGGCCTCAGCCTCAGCCTGCCTCAGCCTCAGCCTGCATCAGCCTGCAGCAATGGCAGCTGCTCCAGTTGGCTTTCCATGCCCAGGAATGGAGTTCTGGGAACTCGAAGACCACGAAGTGGCCTACAGTTGGCTCCGGGCATTCAAAATCATGCCCAGGAATGGAGTTCTGGGAACTCGAAGACCACGAAGTGGCCTACAGTTGGCTCCGGGCATTCAAAATCATGCCCAGGAATGGAGTTCTGGGAACTCGAAGACCACGAAGTGGCCTACAGTTGGCTCCTGGCATTCAAAATCATGCCCAGGAGTGGAGTTCTGGGAACTCGAAGACCACGAATTGCGTTACTGCTGGCTAAGAAAGGAGTCCCCAGATTCCCGCGGCACCCGTCCGGCATCTGTCCGGCATCTGCCCAGACCCCCCTGGGGTGTCATGATGGTTTCTTTTGAGACCACTAGAAACCTATCAGTCTTCGCTGTTAGGTAATGAGGATGACGAGGATAATCAGGAGGACTAGGGCAAGGACGAGGAGGACAGGGCGAATGAGGCGGCGGAGGAGAAGGAGGAGGAGGAGGAGGAGGCGGAGAAGGAGGAGGAGGAGGAGGAGGAGGAGGAGAGGAGGAGGCGGGGCGGAGGAGGATTGATAGGAACCCCTCATCTACCCGAACTAGGGCCTTTCTTCTCCCTTTTGTCATCCTCCAAGAAGCCTGTAGGGCCCCTCAAGCCACCAAGAACCCTTCAGGAAGCTGAAAGCCCACGTGCCCACCCACCAACTCCTCTCCTCCTCCTCCTCCTCCTCCTCCTCCTCCTCCTCCTCCCTCCTCCCTCCTCCTCTCTCCCCCCTCCTCCTCTCCCTCCTCCCTCCCTCCCTCCTCCCTCCTCCCTCCTCCCTCCTCCTCCTCCTCCTCCTCCTCTTCCTCCTCCTCCTCCTCCTCCTCCTCCTCCTCCTCCTCCTCCTCCTCCCCCAAACAGCTTGTCTGTCAGGGTCGAGAGTGCAGGGCTTGAGGGCGCCACCCGGATGGCCTCCCGCACGTCCTCCCGCACGGTTTCACGTGCCTCCTCCCCCCTCCCCCCCCCCCCCCTCCTCCCTCCTCCCTCTCCTCCTCCCTCTCCTCCTCCTCCTCCTCCTCCTCCTCCCTCCTCCTCCTCCTCCTCCTCCTCCCTCCTCCTCCTCCTGCTGCTGCTGCTGCTGCTCCTCCTCCTCCTCCTCTTCCTCCTCCTCCTCCTCCTCCTCCTCCTCCTCCTCCTCCTCCTCCTCCTCCTCCTCCTCCTCCTCCTCCTCCTCCTCCTCCTCCTCCCCCCCCCCTCCTCCCCTCCCCGTGCCGTGTCCGCCCCTCTCACTCGCTCTGGCGCTCCGCGTGCCTCGTCCTGGCTTTTGGAGCAGCGCGGCCATGGGAGGAGGGCTGGAGTTGGAGCCCGTGTGAAGTCGGGCGTGACCCTCTACAGGAGGAACGATCAAACATAAGAAAACATCGTTTTGGGACGATAGCTCTACCTGCTCTACCATTTCGAAACTATGGTCTAATTGTGTTGGCTATTCTTCATCTTCGCCCCAAACCCGCTTGTAGAGACGGCTTCCCGTGCGGTCTCCCGTGCGATTCCCCGTACCCAGACCCCCTCGGGTAATGAACAAAAATCATGCCTGGAGTTTTTTCCATATTTTCGGTCGCTGGGGGCCCTTACTGGGCCTCGGGACCGTCAAAAAACGACTCAGGATGAAAAACCGGTCCAGGAGAATGGGTCGAGACCCTTGAAGGTCAACGTTATAGCGTCGGGGGCCTGGGTGTGGTCTGACGCATGGTCTCCAGCGCGGTCTCCCGTATGGTCTCCTGTTTGCTCTCCCGCAGGGTCTCCCGCAGCTGCAGTGCGGTGAAGTTCGCCCTCTCCGGATGCATTCTGCTGTTCAGGGCCTTCTGCCGCCGGGGTGTATTTTTCTCCCTCCTCCTCGTCCACCTCCACATCCCCCTTCCTCCTCCTCCTCCTCCTCCTCCTCCTCCTCCTCCTCCTCCTCCTCCTCCTCCTCCTCTCCTCCTACCTCCTCCTCCTCTCCTACGTCTTCTTCCTCCTCCTCCTCCTCCTTCTCCTCCTCCTCCTCCTCCTCCTCCTCCTCCGCCTGCCTCCGTTCCTTTTACTTCTAACTAGTTTCTCCCTGTCGCACCCCGAAGCCAGTTCTTAGGGTGGGCCGGGCGTTTCGCCTGAGATTTTCTCACCATTTATTGCTCTGAAGCTTAAACATTGGCAACAGTTTCGCAGATGGAGGGCGGGTAGTTTTCAAAATGTGGCTCTCGCCTCAGCGTGGCGCACATTCGTTTTTAGAATTTAAAAAGGTTTCACGGATTGAGGGCGGGTCGTTTTCAAAATGTGACTCTCGCTTTAGCGCCGCGCAGATTCGTTTCAAATTTTGCAAGAGCTTCACGGATTGAGGGCGGGTCGTTTTCAAAATGTGGCTCTCGCTTTAGCGCCGCGCACATTCGTTTTCGAACATTTGCAAGAGCTCCACGGATTGAGGGCGAGGGGTTTTCAAAATGGCTTTCGCCTTAGCGCAGCGTGCATTCGTTTTAAACATTTGCAAGAGTTTCACGGGTTGAGGGCAATTCTTCTTCAAAATGTGGCTCTCGCCCCAGCGCCGCGCACATTCGTTACACTTTTTTCAAGAGTTTCACTTATTCCCATCATCAGCGTACCAGAAACGGTGTTTTGGACGGAGTCAGGATTATGCGGGCGCAACAGTTACGTTGATTCTCTGCGTTGAAGTCCTAGTAATGTTTTCCTGGCACGATTCAGGGTCTTCAAGGCGTAATAGTCAGGTTGTTCCGTGACGTTGGAATCCCGAGAACAATGTTTGGCATTCTTCAGGGTCTTCAAACGGGTGTCTTCCAACGAGGCAGTTCCCTCAATGGAAATGAACCGTTGCAGGGGCCTTTGAAGAGGGAGCTTTGAGGGAAGGTTTACTCCAGCATCGTTGATGACTCTTGGTTTTATACTGGTCCTCCTCCTCATCCTCTTCTTCCTCCTTCTCGTTCCTCTTCTTCGTCTTCTTCTTCTGCTTATTATTCTTTATCTATTTCATCTTCGTCTTTTATTTTCTTCATCCTCCTCCTCCTCCTCCTCCTCCCTCTTTCTCCTCTTCTCCTCCCTTCTCCCGGAGGTGAAATGGCAGGACGGAGCCTCTCGAGAGGACTCGAGTACTCCTTGCGTGGCCACTCTGTAGCGTTGGCTCCTGCGCCGCCAGCGCTGTTCTGAGCTCATGCGAGACCCCTCGCCCTCTCTTCAGTCCACCCTCCTCTTTCCCCTTCTCTTCTCCCTCACTTCCTCCCACCCCTCCCTTCTCCTCCCTCGTCCTCTCCATCCCTTCCTCCCACCCCTCCCTTCTCCTCCCTTCCCTTACCCTTCCTTCCTCCCACCCCTCCCTTCTCCTCCCTTCCCTTACCCTGCCTCCCCTCCCCCTCTCCTCCCTACCACTTCCCTCTCCCCTCTCCTCCCCTCCCCTCCCCTCGCCTCCGCCCCTCTTCTTTCCGCCCCCTCCCCTCCTCCTCTCCCCCCCTTTCCTACCCCCCCCCATTCCTGCCTCTCTCCCCCGCCCCCCCCCTCTGCCTCCCCTTCCCCCCCCCCGTCCTCCCCCGCCTCCCCCTTGCCCCTCCCCCACCCTGCCTTCTCCTCGGGCACGGCCCCGAGTGGCTGCAGACAGGGGAGGTGCAGGGCCAGCCCGCAGCTGGCCTCCAGGGGCACCGCAGCGGCCCCTGCCACGGCCGCCCCTTTCCCCACCCGTGGTGGCGCCGCGGCCCGCTGCGGAGCCGGCGCCCCGGGGCCTGCGGAGGGGCAGGTCTCTTCGGTGCGGTGATGACGCGCGCCGTCGTCCTTGGATTTTTTCTCTCGATCCGTCGTTGGTCCCCGGCTCTTCTCCGTGTCACACGCTGCGACCTGCCGAGTTGGTGTGGGGTGCGGCTCTTGGCGAGCCTCGGTTTTCGCCCGCCGTGCCCGCCCTGCCACATGCCTCCCTTCTCTCCTCCTCGCCTGTCCCTTCACGCATGCAGCACGCTCGTTTCTCTTTCAGGCCACGGTTCATTGCATGACTTTGCCTATCGCAGGTCAGGCTTTTGTGGTGTTCCCAGTTTGCCTGGCCACCTTCTGATTCGCTCGGCGGTCGAGGCCGAGTCAGGTGAAGTTTTGTGGTCGCGCTCCTTCCTCCTCTTCCACAAAAACTTTGACGTCAGGTTCGCGTCGTGTCGACTGGTGGCCACCCCGCCGCCGGCGTTCCACGTTGAACGCCGCCGGCGAGCCAGAGTCGGTCGATGTTGAGCGACCTGACGTCTCGGAAACGACCCATCGTTCAAGGTCGAACGATCCTCGTGGTGTCGGGCACCGACGCCGGGGTCGGCACGACGCGAGCCAGCCGTAGGTGGCCTGTGCCCGACCTGCGCTTCGCCGCGCGCCGCGGGTACCCGCAGGAGGAGGCGGAGGAGGCGGAGGAGGAGGAGGAGGAGGAGGGAGGAGGGAGGAGTGCGGCCTCTGCTCCCCGCGCGCCTCCCTCGGCGCCGTCCTCCCCCCCCCCTGCGCTTCACTCGCCCGCCGTGTGTCCCCCACGCCATGCCTTGACCGCGTCTTGGCTCCAAGCCGCCGCCGGCCAAGTGTGAGGCAGGTGGCGACCGTGGGCTTCCGAGGTGACGCTCCTCCACTCCGCCTACCCTCTCGATCTCGTTCCTCCGCTCCTCCTCCCCTCGTGGCCTTGCCCATGCACAGGATGGGTTCCTGTGCACCACTTGTCCTGCGCCATCTCGTGGATTGAAATAGAGGTGGCTATCACCGGTACGCGTAGTGCGCATACAAATGTACCAAAACCAGGTGCCTACAGCGGCCCTTGTAAGAGGCTCAGCGTCGTAAGATTTGTCCAGCAAGCCTCTGTGTGCACAGCTTTCAAGGATGGGGGAACCCATGCGCCCCATCCGAATCGACAGGGTTTTGCATACCCCCCCGGGCATCAACAATTCACTACAGGCCTCCTCACTTTGCGTCCTCCCCGCCTGCTGCTCCTCCTCCGCCGCCGCTTTCCACTCATTGTCCTCCTCTCTTCTCCCCTCCTTCTCCTCGGCCCCTCCTTCACCCTCCTCATCCTCCCCCCCGCCGCAGCCATTCGGCCCAAGGCTCAACCAGCAAGCACGTCTCGGCTCGCCCGGCAAGCCAGACCGAGAGCGCGATGGGCATGTCCTGCGGCGAGGTGTGCTGCCCGGAGGACTGCAACGACGAACAGTGCGGCTGCAAGTGCGGCGAGTCCATCATGTTCCTGGGCATGTTCTTCCTGGCGGCCGCGTCCGCGTTCTGGGGCGTGGGGGAGCTGTTCGGGTGGAATGGAGCCGACACGCACTTCCAGCAGGGCATGACCTACCACTCCTTCAACATGTTCTGGTTCTACCTGGGAGGTCTCACCACCGTCTTTGGTATCCTGTACGCGTTCGTCATCAGGGGCGGCAAGGCCTTCGGGCGCGAGCCCGAGGACGCGGTGGACGAGAGCGCCAGCAAGGAGGGCGAGGCTGGGGCCCCGCAGCAGGCGCCGACCCCGTACATCATGCTGGCGGCCGAGCCCTGAGGCGGGCCGTCGCAGGCGGCAGCCACATGAGGGTTGGTCGGGGCGGGCGGCGGACCGAGTCCTCGGAGGGGTAGGGGAGGGATGGGCCGACTCGGGAGGTGTGGATTGGAGCGGTGGCGGTGGTGAAGGGGGGGGGGAGGACCCTTGCATCCTCGCGCGGCGAGCAAAAAGAGGCACGACGGAAGTCTTCTGGCCACTTCGGCCGCAAGGGGCGCCCCCGCCAGGCCCCTGGGCAGGGGTCATTCCGATTCCGCCAGTTCGATTCGAATCGATTTCCGCGATTCCGATCTCGAACCGACTCGATTCCGGGATTCCGATTCGCGATTCCGATTTCGAGTTTGCCCGATCCGGCTTCTGCCGATTCGATGCGTCAGCCGATTTCTGCCGGCTTTTGCCGATCCGGCTTCGCTCCGGCTCTGGCCCCCAAGGGGAGGAGGAGGAGGGAGGAGGAACCCCCAGGGGGGAGTCCAAAAACCCCTCCCCCCCCCAGGGGGGGTTTTCCAAAAGCCCTGGGACCCCCCCCCCCCAGGGGGAGGTTTTCCAAAAGCCCCGGAACCCCAAACCCCCCACAGGGGGGGGTTTTCCAAAAGCCCCGGGACCCCAAACCCCCCCAAGGGGGAGGTTTTCAAACCCCCCCACCCAAGGGGGAGGTTTTCCAAAAGTCCCGGGACCCCAAATCCCCCCAGGGGGGGTTTTCCAAAAGCCCTGGGACCCCCCCCCTCCCCCCAGGGGGGGGTTTTCCAAAAGCCCCGGGACCCCCTCCCCCATGGGGGGGTTTTCCAAAAGCCCCGGGACCCCAAACCCCACCCAGGGGGGGGGGTCGAAAAGCCTCGGAACCCCATCCCCCCCCCCAGGGGGGGGGTTTTCGAAAGGCTCCGGGACCCCAAACCCCCCCCAGGGAGGGGTTTTCCAAAAGCCCCGGGACCCCCCCCCCCGGCCCAGGGGGGGGTTTCGAAAAGCTCCGGGACCCCAAACTCCCCCCAGGGAGGGGTTTTCGAAAAGCCCCGGGACCCCAACCCCCCCCCCAGGGGGAGGGGGTCCAAAAACCCGACCCCCCCCAGGGAGGGGGGTCTAAAAACCCAACCCCCCCCAGGGGGGGGTTCCAAACCCCCCCCCCCCAGAGAGAGGGGTTCCAAAACCCAAACCCTCCCAGGGAGGGTCCAACCCCGCCCCCCCCCAGGGGGGGGGTCCGAAAACCCATCCCCCCCCCCAGGGGGGGGGTCCGATTTCGATTCCGATCCGGCTTGACGCGGTCCGGTTTCCGACTCGATTTGGCTCGGACTTGCCGACCTCTGCCTATTTCGATTTGGCTGCCGGCTTTTGCCGATTTCTGCCGATTCGATGCTCCGGTCGACCCGATCCGGCTTATCGATTCGATGCTGGGGCCGCCTGCCTGGGCCGCCACAATACGGCTAGGGACGGAAAGCTGGCACCCGGGAAGAGGCCCAGGCCTCTGGGGGACCGCGCCGCGAAGCCCACGGCGTCGCACACAGCGGAGACCCATGCCAAGAAGCGCCCTGCTTGCTCCCAGGATGCCCTGGGTTTCTTTGGTTTTGATGGTTTTGCGATGGGCAGCGCGGCGTTGCCACACCAAAAATCGATGGAGGCCCTGGGGTCTCAGGGTTGAGTTTCTTATGGAAGGTTTCTTGTGGCCGGGTCCCTATTGTATCTGGGAATAGTGAGGAGGAGGAGTGGGAGGAGGGGGGGGAGGAGGATTGCCGAGCACGCCACAGGCTTCAGGGGGACCCAGACCCATATTCAGGTGCGGGGCGGCCATTAAGTAAGTGCCTGAGGCTGTGGCAGAAGAGAGAAGCAGTCCAGTATTTTTCAGGAGGAGGAGGAGGAGGAAGAGGAGGAGGAGGAGGAGGAGGAGGAGGAGGAGGCGGAGGCGGAGGCGGAGGCGGAGGCGGAGGCGGAGGAGGAGGAGGAGGAGGAGGAGGAGGAGGAGGAGGAGGAGGAGGAGGAGGAGGAGGAGGAGGAGGAGGAGGAGGAGGAGGAGGAGGAGGAGGAGGAGGAGGAGGGGAAACTAATCGTCGTTGCACCGATTGGCCTGAATGCAGACAGAGGAGCCTTTTTGGATGTCGCCGGTACCCGTGTCCACACGTGATTTGGTCATGGGGATGGCGAGTTTGCGGCTTCATCATCGGGTTTAAGCCCCGCCAACTTTTTCCGCTGCCATACTTAGTGAGTGCTCCTTCGAGGTGACGAGCTGTATGTGTGGTGGCGCGGGTGTGTTAGGAAAACGAGGTGCCACCAGGGATCACCCGTCGAATCGTTGGCGTGGGCGTGGCAGAGCCATGGGCCTGTGGGATGCGCCTTGTCCTCCCCCTCCCCTCCCCTTCCTCGAGCCGTGGTCCTGGCTGGCCGCAGCAGGATGGAGAGGGTGTAGGCACGGCGCACGCTCCCCGCCTCCCTCGACCTCCCATGAGTCATGGGATGTGCAGTGCCTTCCCACAGGGGCCACTGCAATCCGATCGATCCGTCTCGGTGTCGAGTTCACCCAGCGCGATCCGATTCGACTTCGGTTTGCCGACGAGCCGATGCGGCCCGATGCCTGCACCGACGTCGCTGTGGCACCCTGGCGCGGCCGGTCCGATTCGCTCTCGGCTCCGTGCCGATGCGACACGATCCGATGCACGGTTCGATCCGATCCGATTTTTCCCGACTCGATGCCATCTGAACCTTCGGACCCAGAGCTCCTCGGGTAATGACAAAATTATGACGGGAGTTTTTCGCTATTTTTGACTTGTGGAGGCCCTTGCCGGGCCTCGGGACCGCCCAAAAAAGCATTCAGGATGAAAAACTGGTCCCAGGGAATGGGTCGAGACCTCTCAGGGTCGACGTTTTGAAAAAGCCAGGGGTCCTGGGGAGGAGGGCCACTTCAGACAACGGCAATGAGACAACGGCGGCCGAAATCTGGTCAAAATCAGTCCCTGGACCCTTCCCAGGGTCCAAACCCAGAGATCCGATGCTCTGTTCTTTTTCAGAACAGTCCCGCGAAGTCCCGACCCTCTCCCCAGGGCTGGTTTCTCACCGCGGCTCGTTTTTAAAGGCCCCTCGGCCCGGCGAGGGCCCCCCGAGGCCGAAGATGGCCCAGAGCCCTCCGTCCCTTTTTTCCCGCGACGAGAGGGGGTCTGGGGCTGATTGGCCCAAAATGGGTTCCAGCGAAAAGGGGGCGGTATAATAGCTTTGGTGCAATATATTTGTGGGATTGCACTAGATTTGGGGTGGGCAATACCATCCGATGTGCAAATGTATTGCTGGATTTTCGCGTGCACTACATTGGTTGCAGCACAGTGCGATACAATTCTCTGGCGCAATACATACAATACAATTGTTCAAATCTACTGCACCAGCCCCTTTTAGCTGGACCAACGTGTTGGGTCAGGAGGACTGGGATTTTTTGTTGTTTGATGTTCTGTGACTATTTTAGATTTTCCGTCCAAAATCCGCCTGGAGCATGTTTTTTTGTTTTGCAGTCTGGGCGATAACGCTCGTGATCGCCCCCCGCCCCTCCCCCGCCCCCGATCACGTGACGCTGTTGTCCCCACATGTCTCAAGGAATCTTCCAGGGTTTCCAGAGAATCTCCAATGCTTCCTAGGAATTCATCGTCGTCGCTGTTGTCCGCGACCGGGAGGCCGAAAAAGCGTTGCTGTTGTTGTCGTTGTCGTCGTCGTCGCGTCGCTGTTGTCGTCGTCGTTGCTGTTGTCGCTCGCCCTCCCTGTTCTTCCTGCTCGTGCTTCTGCCGCTGCTTCTTCTTTTCCTCCTCAATCCCCTCTTCCTCCTCTGCTCTCTCTCCCTTTTCCTTATCTTCCTCCTCCCGAGGGCCCAGGGGTTCGAAAAAGGCCCCGTGACCGGGAGGGGGGCCAACCCCCCCCCCCTGGATCACGCCCGTTAGGGCGGATAATTCAAAAACAGGCTCCTGTAGGGGGACATGCCCGACCTAAGGAGAACGCCCCCGATGGCCAAGTGGCAACCCTCGCCTCAGCCTGGCCCTCCCGTGCCGGCCAGGTGGGCACGGCCGGCCATAGTTCCGAGGCGGCCTCGGGAGCGACGTTGGCGAGGGGGGCGAGGACGAACGGGTCGAGGACGGAAGGGGCTGGAGGTAGGAGGAGGAGGAGGAAGAGGAAGAGGAAGAGGAAGAGGAAGATGAGGATGATGATGATGCCGATGGCGATGATGATGATGATGATGACGATGATGATGATTATGATGATGATGATGATAATGATGATGATGATGAAGAAGAAGATGATGATGATGATGCTGATGATGATGATGATGATGATTTTGATGATGATGAGGAGGAGGAGGATTGGATTGGATTGGACACTTCAAGCGGACAAGGCTGGAGCCTTCCAGCATCGACGGTCGGGATGGAGCCGCCTGCCCCGCTCAAGCGGCACAGGGGCCACACTCCAACAGAAGTGCCAGAAAACCCCAACCTCCTTGCAACCATAATGACTCCCATGCAGTGCAAGCCTGGGGCTAACAGGCGGCGGGCTTCAAACCAGAACTTCCTCTGGTTGCCACCGCCAGCCGGGTAGACGTCACCCAAACGCGGGAGCCAGTGCTGCCTCGTGATACTCATTTTCATAAACATCCTCATCCTCATCCTCTCGTCCTCCTCCAAGCCTCCACCACCATCACCGGTCGAATCGCTGCCGTATCTGAAATGCTTCGAGCACGGGAAAAATTTCATCCTGCTGACTGGAAATCCTCTGGCGACCAGCTGCTTGCAATAGCCCTTCAACGTCTCGTGTCCCACGATCACGCTGGTTGCCCCGCTGTCGTGTATCGCCTCCGATGGGTCGATCTCCGTCGAGTTGTTGATGTCATCCGCTGTGTCGGTAACCATTCTCGCCTCTGCCGTGTCGTCGCCAACGTTCTGCCTTTTCCTGCTGGCGTGTGGGCAGTCCCTGGCGAAGTGTCCTTGACCACCGCATCGTAGGCATATCGTCTCTTCCGTCGCTCTCGGGATATGGTGTATCGAGGGCCCTCGTACAGCTCAACCCTTTCCGTGATTAGTTGCCCGCCTTGCCACGTCCCTTCGTTGATCGTCCTGTTGCTCTCCCTCTTGAGGCACCTCGGGCCGCACCGCGACCTCTAGCAGCGCCTGCAGCTCGAGGGATGATCGGGGCCGTGCTTCTCGTCGGTGGCGGTACCATGGCTACGACAGGGTAGAAACCTCTGGCCAACCGCATGTCGTTCATCTTCTGCCTTGCGTCCGTGTATGCTGCCATTATCTCATCGTACTGTTCCACGTCGTACGTCTGGTCTGGCATGGGGGTGGTGATCGTCGCTCTGTCGCTGCAGTAGGCTGCCTCTGCATCGAAGCCGAGGCCAGCTTCTTAGTGGTCCTCGCCGTCGTCCTCGTAGTAGGCATACTCGTCCTCGTCTCCGTAGTAGACGTCCTCCTGGTAGTCGTCGACCTCCTCGTAATCGTCCACGTTGTAGGCTGCTGCTCCCGAGCTCGCTCGATGGCTAGGCACCGAATCCAGGCCGAATGTCTTCTTCATCTCGCCTTCGACCTTGTCTAGTGAGAGGTTGTCGCCGACTTGGTTCATGATGAGCTGCTTACCTTCTTTGTCCAGCCTGGCCCTGCGTAGAAGAAACCAACCCAGCACCTTGTCTGGGATAGACACATCGTGTGAGCGCAACTTGCGCTCTGACGTCCGAAACCTCGTCAAGTAGTCCATCAGCGTCTCTTTCGGCTTGCGGGCGGCCTTGAATAAGAAATTCTCGAAATCCGTCGGGAGCTCCGTAATCTGGTCATACTTGTAGGCTTAGTCGAGCGCGTCGAGGATGAGCTGCCAGCCTTTCTCCTGCTCGATGTCTGCTATCTGGATGTCCTCGACAACTTCCCACGCTCTGCCCCACAGACCTTGCATGATCTCGAGCCCCTCTGCTTTCTCCTGCTGCTTACTTCTGGCTCGGGCGGCGTAGATCTCCACCTTTCTCCGGAACGTCTTGTACCCGTCGATGGAGCCGTCGAATTCCGGGGCACATCCGATGAAGGGGTCGTCTTCTGGTCGTCCTGATGCCGGTGTCCCTGCTGGCCCTTTTCCCCTATTGCCAGATGGTGGTCCCACGGGTGTATCGTCGTCCGTGGAGCCGTAGCTCCGCTACCAATGTGAACTCGTTGAAGCACTCGAAGTCTCCAACTCCCCTCGAATCGAAGTCCGAATCTCTGCCAACTTCTCCTCGAACACCTTCCCTCACTATGCTCTGCACGCGGGGGGCGATGATGGTAACCTTTTTGGTCAGTCGAGAGGCCTCTCGAGCTCAAAACGGCAATGGTCAAACGTGCCGTCATTCTCTGCTGCTTGCTATGTGCTGACACTGGGCCTCGAGGGGCCTCGAGAGGGAAAAGTATCTAACAACATTCTGTCATAACCCTCAAAACATACAGTATATGGAGTGCAATTCACAGGAGGAGGAGGAGGAGGAGGAGGAGGAGGAGGAGGAGGAGGAGGAGGAGGCGGAGGAGGAGGAGGAGGAGGAGGAGGAGGAGGAGGAGGAGGAGGAGGAGGAGGAGGCGGAGGAGGAGGAGGAGGAGGAGGAGGAGAAGGAGGAGGAGGAGGAGGAGGAGGGGAGGAGGAGGAGGAGGAGGAGGAGGAGGAGGAGGAAGGAAGAGAGGAGGAGGAGGCAGGAGGAGGAGGAGGAGGAGAGAGGAGGAGGAGGAGGAGGAGGAGGAGGAGGAGGAGGAGGAGGAGAGGAGGTGAGGGAGGTGAGGAGGAGGAGGAGGAGGAGGAGGAGGAGGAGGAGGAGGAGGGAGGAGGAGGAGGAGGAGGAGGAGGAGGGGGAGGGGAGGAGGAGGAGGAGGAGGAGAGGAGGAGGAGAGGAGGGGAGGGAGGAGGAGGAGGGAGGAGGAGGAGGAGGGGGATGAGGAGGAGGAGGAGGAGGAGGAGGAGGAGGAGGAGGAGGAGGAGGAGGAGGCAGGAGGAGGAGGAAGAGGAGGAGGAGGAGGAGGAGGCGGGAGAGGAGGAGGAGGAGGAGGAGGAGGAGGAAGAGGAGGAGGAGGAGGAGGAGGATGAGGTGGGGAGGAGGAAGAGGAGGAGGAGGAGGAGGAGGAGGAGGAGGAGGAGGAGGAGGAGGAGGAGGAGGTGGAGGACCAGTGTAAGCATCCAAGAGTCATCAACGATGATGGAATGCAACGTCCCTCCAAGCTCCCTCTTCATAGGCCCCTACAACGGTTCATTTTCATTGAGGCAACTGCCTCGTTGGAAGACAACCGTTTGAAGATCCTGAGGTATGCCAAAACATGGTTCTCGGGATTCCAACGCCGCGTATCAATCTGACTGCTGCGTCTTGACGATCCGGAATCGTGCCAGAACGCCATTTTGGGACTTCAACACCGCGAAGCAACATAATTGTTGCACCCGCATTATCCTGAATCCTTCCTAACCACCATTTTCTGGTACGCTGATCATGGACATCCGTAAAACTCTTGCAACTTTGAAAACGACTGTGCGAGGGGCTGAGGCGAGAGCCACACTTTGAAAACCACCCGCCCTCAATCCGTGAAGCTCTTGCAAATTTTGAACACGCATGTGAGCGGCGCTAAGGCGAGAGCCACATGTTGAAAACCACCCGCCGTCAATCCGTGAACGTCTTCTAATTTTGAAGACGAATGTGCGCGGGGCAAAGGCGAGAGCCACATTTTGAAAATCACCCGCCCTCATTACGTGAAGCTCTAGCAAATATTGAAAACGAATGTGCGCGGCGCTGATGCGAGAGCCACATTTTGAAAACCACCCGCCCTTCATCTGTGAAGCTCTTGCATTTTTTAAACGAATGTGCGCAGTGCTAAGGCGAGAGCCACATTTTGAAAACGACCCGCTCTCAATCCGTGAAGCTCTTGTAAATCTTTAAAACGAATGTGCGCAGCGCTCAGGCGAGAGCCACATTTTGAAAACCACCCGCCCTTCATCTGTGAAACTGATGTCCATTTTTCAGCTTCAGAGCCATCAGTGGTGCGGAAGTCTCAGGCGAAACGCCCGGCCCGCCCTAAAAACTGGCCTCGGGGTGCGACAGGAAGAAGTTATTTGTAAGGAGAAGGAATGGAGGAGGAGGAGGAGGAGGAGGAGGAGGAGGAGGAGGAGGAGGAGGAGGAGGAGGAGGAGGAGGAGGAGGAGGGAGGAGGAGGAGGAGGAGGAGTAGGAGGAGGGGGAGGAGGAGGAGGAGGACGATGAGGAGGAGGAGGAGGAGGAGGAGGAGGAGGAGGAGGAGGAGGAGCTAGGACGAGGATAAATCCGTTCCAGAGCGTTCCGAAACGCGCTTAGGGCGTTCTGGCACGCTGGGAGAAAACCGCGGCGCCCGAGGCATCCTCCAGAGCCGCCGGCTCCCCGAGATTCTCGATTCCTCCTCCCCCGATTTCTTATCCTTGTCCTGGCTTCGTCGCCAGTCCCGAGGAAGCTCACTGGGGGGGGGGGGAGGGCCTCTGCCGCACGGCTTCCCGAGGAGCAGGTGCACATGGCCGGCCTGGTGGGCGAGGCCCTGGTAGTCGTCGTCGTCGTCGTCGTCGTCGTCGTCGTCGTCGTCGTCGTCGTCGTCGTGGTCGTAGTTGTCGTCGTCGTCGTCGTCGTGGTCGTGGTCGTGGTGGTGGTGGTCGTGGTGGTGGTCGAGGTCGTCGTCGTTGTCGTCGTCGTCGTCGTGGTAGTGGTCGTGGTCGTGGTCGTGGTCGTGTTCGTCGTCGTGGTCGTGGTCGTGGTGGGGGTCGTGGTCGTTTTCGTGGTCGTCATGGTCGTTCTCGTCGCGGTAGTAGTAGTGGTGGTGGCTGTTGTAGTCGTCCCTCGCCCCCCCCCGCGCGCAGGAACGCGCACGGGGTGGGGAGGATGAGGTGGTGGAGGAGGAGGAGGAGGAGGAGGAGGAGGAGGGGGAGGAATAATAATACTTATCATATTAATATCTATAGTATGAGTAATATAAGGATAGTAATGCGACGACTAATAATAACACGAATCCTCGTAATACCATTAAGAAGAGAATTACGAATAAATTCAACATATTCATAATCATGATAGTACTAATAATACTAAGCAGTCTTATAAGACTACTAGTATGAATCATAGTAATACTAGTAGTAAGATGAATGATACTGATCATACTACGAGCAATAATGTTAATACGAAGCATATTAATAGTAGTAATACTATTAATACGAAGAGTACTGATCATACTAACGCGAATTATAATAATCGTCTTAACAAACACAAGCGTGTTAACAGTAATAAAAAGAAGAGGAGGATGATGAGGATGATGATGATGAGGAGGAGGAGGGCGTAGGAGGAGGAGGCGGAGGCGGAGGAGGAGGAGGAGGAACTGGAGGAGGAGGAGGAGGAGGAGGAGGAGGAGGAGGAGGAGGAGGAGGAGGAGGAGGAGGAGGAGGGGGAGGAGAAAAACGAGGTGGAGACCGCGGTGGAGGAGGAGGAGGTGGAGGAGGAGGAGGAGGAGGAGGGGGAGGAGGAGGAGGAGAGTTTGGCTTGTGGACTTGACGGCTGGGAGGAAGGGCTCACGACACAGGAGCATGACGTCAGTGAAAATGAGAGGTTTTGTAACAAAAGAGTCCCAGAGTCGTGTCGCCGTTCTCTGCCGCCCAGGGCTTTTCCCAGGCCCAGGGTCCGTCGTAGAACGGCTCAGGATGAACAGCTGATCATCGCGAAGGCCCCAGGGTCTAGACCTGCTTCTGACGTGCATTATGCGTGGGAGCCATTTTAAGCATGAGTTGTTGTTGTTGTTGTTGTTGTTGTTGAACATTATTAATTCTAAAGAATAATTATTGTTGGGACCCCTGGTGCACGGCCCCCCTGCGCCGCCTAGGCCGCAGCTACATTTTCATCATTTTCGTGAGGAAGCCTCAAGTAATTCGATGTGATCAAGATCCGGTTGTTTTGTTCCCCCCCGCTTTCCCTTGCAAAAAACACTATAAAATGACATTTCTTGTTCTAATATAATCAAATTTCAAGAATCCCTTGCAAAAAATAAGGTAAAGTGGACATTCGCGCGCGCAAGACGAAATCCTTCCAAAAACTTAGTGTTCGGAACGATTTTAACATAAAAACATCAAAAAACCAATGTTTTTTCAACAAAAAAAATGTCAAAATCTCATCCCGCGCGCTCTTGCGGATTCGTAGGAAACCCAACACTTTTTAAACATTTCTGTCAAACGGGCTTTTGCGAGCAACTTTTTCGAACTTCTGCGACAACGGTTGCGCACCTGCCAGGGCCATCATCCATGTCAAATAATACCATGCGGGACACATTCGTTTTTTCTTCGCGCGCGCACGCCGAAATCTCCAAAAACCAGATGTGATCAACTATCTTGTGAGTACGTATCGTGTGTATCATGTGTATCATGTACCATATGCATCATATGCAACAGATGTTCTGTGGAAGGCTTAACAACTTCTGTGGGTTAACAAGGCTTAACAACTTCTGTGGGTGTACGAACGAAGGCTTAACAACTTCTGTGGGTGTGTACTCCACGCCAGTGTAGTAGCCACGGTCGTCCGCAGGCCACGAATTGAAGTGTCCGAACGTCATAGGGCGGGAAGCTGGGTGTGGGTGGTGGCGAAGAGTCGTGTGGATATTTGGTAGAGCTTGCACTGCCCCCCCACAAAGTGGGGGTATTGGCTGGCGTCGCATGAAAACCCTGGCACTGGTGAGAACACTGAGCGTTCGGGTAAAGTGATTGTTGTTGTTGTTGTTGTTGTTGTTGTTGCTGTTTCCTGGCTATTTGGTGGTCGCCACTAGGCGCTAACAGCCGCTAGCAGACACCAATCGGCGCTAGCAGGCGCTGATAGGCGCTGATAGGCGCTGATAGGCGCTGACAGGCGCAAGCATGGGCATTGCTAGACACCAGTAGGCGCTCATAGGGCGGAGCCTGTTGAAAACATCACTCACGCATGCTACACGTAGCGCTTCCACCAGAACCCGGCTCCCGTATGCCTCGCGGAGTAGGAGGAGCAGGAGGAGGAGGAGGTGGAGGAGGTGGAGGAGGAGGAGGAGGAGGAGCAAGAGGAGAAGGTGGAGGCCCCAGGGCGGGGAGCGCCGAGGAGGAGGAGGAGGAGGAGGAGGAGGAGGAGGAGGAGGAGGGGCGTCGCTGCTCAGGAGACGGCACAGCTGCCGTGAGCGTGGCGACCTAGGCGTGACTCTCGAGGGTCGGAGACCCTTCTTGAGGCCGCAGACACGGGCTTTCGTTTTCCGCATACGAGAACCAGCCTTTCGCAGACGTGATCAGAAGAAGAGAACGTGGGCCAGGATCCTGGTCCGTATTGCATCAGGACGAAGCCGTTTGCTCTCACATCACAGCACCCAGAGGGCGCCCGCCGCCAGCATGTCAGGCAGTGTAGGCAAGTGGACGTGGAGGTTGTGACAAGCACGTTCAGCCCTGGCACTGGCGGTGTCGTGTTGTGGATCTGCTTGTGCCAACCGTCGCACTCGTTCCAGCAACCGCAGGCGCCCTTAAGATTGCGCTGTGGAGGAGAACGATCGAAAAGGTTGCTTCCCTGGCTCAGAGAGTTGTTCCAGCGCTCTCCTTCGAGGCCACTGCGCATCAGGATTTGCACAAGTGGGAACCTCCTGCCAACGAGGAGCCGCTGCCTCAGTATCGCACGTCGGCCAAAGAGCAGATCAATACCCTTGCGAAGTTGGCCGTCGCCAGTGTTAAAGCTGCCAAGTCCGACCAGGCAGAGCTTGCAGAAATTGCTCTGTCATCCATGTCCTGAGCACGCTGAAGCCCGTTGGCTACCAGCTTGCGGATGCTCGTACGCGCTCCACGGAGCACGAGAATCAGCTCAAAGGCACGAGGCTGAAGATCCAGCAGCTAGCAGCTAGAGGAGACGGCCGAAGACCTCGAGGACAATATACCGGACCATCGAGACACGATCCCGAACCTGGGGCAAGCCATCCAGGACGCTTCCGCCAAGGAGATTGCAGAGAGGGACCAGAAGATGGCGTCGGCACCCGCGGCGCCAGTGGCTCCCCCTGCTGCTCCGCCACACATTCCACCGCCCCCGCCGCCACCCTCCGCGGCGCCACGGGGGTGGGGACCACCGCCTGCAGCTGTGGGGGCAAATGCTGAAGTTCCTCAGATCCCTGCCCAGGGCGTGAGCGTCACGTACTCGTCCGGGCAGCAGCATACCCTGGTCACCACCATGCAGCTCTTGCTCTCGAGGCAGGACCAGATGCAGGCGCTGATGTCCGACGTGGTTCAGGGCAGAGGCGCTGC